AATCTATTATTTGAGAAAAAAGCAATTTTCATGATCCCATGATAAACAATTTTGAATCATAGAAAACAATTGAATGCATGATAGGTAGTTAATTCTAATAATTTATTATTTTTCAGCTTGTATTCTTTTGCATTACTTAATTAACTAATTTTAAGTAAATTCGGTAAATTTCTGTTATTTTCCTAACATTTTTTTTTCTATTGATTTGACGATTTGAATTTATTTGTACAAACATTCTTGCCAACATAAAAAAAAATCTAAATCCAACTAAAGAATGTTTATTAAAATAAATCAACTATACTTAAATGGTTTAAACTTCATTAGACTTGAAGAATTCTTAATTCCCAACCTTTTAACACTTATCAGAATTGTATATTATTACAGTAATAGATTAAATTTTTGAAAAATAATCATAATTTTGTCAAAAAAGTTGAAACATTTAGGAATCTCGATAAATTCCTTAACTTTAACCGTGAATAACTTTTGAATGAGTAGGTTTATCGAAAAATTGTAAGAGGCCTTTTTTGTAGAGCGTTCGGTTCTGTGATTGTCATGGCTCCGAGAGAACAAGATCGAGGGAAAAAAATATTTTCAAAAAGTGGCACATTCCCATGTAGTTTAAATAAGCCACTGTCAATAGTCAATATAGTCATTAACAATAATGTAAAAAACATGCATGAAATTTATAATATAGATACAATTTTGGACTCGATCAGTTTTTTGTTCGTTATAAATATTAATTCCAATTTTAACATAAATTGGCAGCTTATTAATGCTTCCGACAACATTATGTATTACGAGCATTCTAAACGCATTGGGTTTTAAATCGTTGTCTTGGCACAAAATCAATTTATAACTTGGCAGATCTATTAGGGTCAAGATTACATACACTATTGATATCAATAAATTAATTATATTGTTGTATGTGACGGAGATGTTATTAAAACACTTTATTGTAAAAGCTTTCAACCGAAAGATATTATGTGTAAAAGATTAATGTTAATATGTAAAACTACGCTTAGGAGTAGTGAATGAAAACAGTGACAATTCTAGCGATTTAAGAAGCTGCACTTATTTTATTATTGATTTCCAGGGTTCCAGTGCTTGACTTTGAGTAAAAACATAATATTATCGTTGATTGAAGTAATAAGATGCGCAGCTTTATGGGCGATTTCGTGGCACAAAGCCTGCCCGAGATGAATATTTGGAATATGTACCTTACCATAACGTCGCTTCATGTTGAGTTCGTGTATATTATCAAAAACAAAAAATGCACAGTATACTTCATTAAAGTATACCTTTGCCTAACATTTGGGACCGGTTGTCATCGGGTATTCTTTCAATTGCAGGTTCTTGCGCGCGTAGGTATTTTAAAACATACCCGATCGCAACATTCCACCACGTAGATACGGAGGTTATTTTTGTTCCCTCGTTTTTAGCCTCTGGAATATTTGTTTACGTTTTGTCATTTTTTGTCAGCATGTAGTATTGTTTGTTTGAGTTACTTACTGAGTTACTTACTTAAACCAAATCCCAGGATTATCGTCATAGTTACGCCGATAATGAAATGGGTATTTCTATGTAGCACATATATGAGAATATATTTATAGACACATCATTGTGTGACCAAACTAGTTCTGCGATTACTTTAGTTTTTAACATCTCACAAAATTGGCGGTCTTCCATTGGTTTGCGCTATACATACTGAGCAAAATGAACCTAGCTACACGCTGGTTTTACCGTTATTAAAGAAAGAAGCTATAGAAAATAACGAGGTGGGTAAAAAATTTGATACGGATGTTGTCATGTCAGATGATTCTATTTTACTACAAATTTTTCCAAATGCTCGATTACTGTTATGCGCTTTCCATGTGTGTCAAGCCTTTTTGCGTTGGCTTTGTGTTGCAGACCACAACGTTGGCATTACGAAAAGACAATCATTTATGATAAATAATTATCATAATTATTCAATTAATTAATCAATTAGGATAAAATTCCGTAATATTTTGTTTGTAACTGATCCAGAAGAAGCACTCAAATTGTATGACGAATTAATTAGTGACGAGTATGTTCAGAGAATATCAGCTCTCATGAATCATTTGAGTAATTTATGGAAACGACGGCATGAATGGTGCGTTTATTATAGGTTGGATTTACTTACTCGAGGAAACAATACAAACAACATTACGGAAACATCTATACGCATTCTTAAAGACTTTGTACTCGATGCGATGTAAAGCGTTTAATGCATGCGCGTAAAAACAAGATATGGGCCAAGGAAAATTAAAGTTCAAAGCATAACACTGAGCCGACGTAAAAACAGAGGGATGGTAAAAACCAAATCTAGCATTCAAGGTGGGCGGCCGTCTAACATATAACGAAGAAATCTGGGAAAATCTACAAGTAAGAAAGGGAAGCATAACGCTAAATTAAAATTAGGTTTTATTTAGGGTAAAACTTGTTTGTGTTCTTTTAGTTTTTATTTCATATTACAAAAATTTCTTTTGTAAAAACGCTTCTATATTATCCTCATGTTAACTTTCTCTTTTTTCTCTTAATCCTTATAATTTCTCGATCTACTTCTATAGCGTAACTACAACTGCAACTCTATAGTCACAAGCGGGTATATTATAGTAGTTCAGAATTGCACAATGCGCTGCTTGAAATTATACCCCACAAAAATGTTGCAATGAGGTATATTTTGAAAACCTATCCGCGGCATTGCATATTTTTATTGTATACACGAACTCAACACGAAGGGACGTTGTGGTAAGGTATATATTCCAAATATGCGCCCGAGATGTAGCTGGCGTTACCGTCAGTCTGTCCGAGATTTAGATTAGCTCTGCTCCGCTGCGCGCCGATAGTCGTATACTTATGCCCACTTGCACCGTTTGTATAAACTTTTTTTAAAGGCTAAACAGTGATTAACTATACATATTTTATTATAGTTAATCACTGTTTAGCCTTTAAACAAAGTTTATACAAACGGTGCAAGTAGGCATTAAACTATTAAATTTTACCTTAAACCATTAAATGTTTTCATATAAAAATACATTTTTCATAGCAAAAAAGTTACAGCGATTTGTTCAAAATACACATTTTTGAAAAACAACCGGCAAACAATAAACAATTCTGCATGTTAATCCCTTTTAAGTTTTCGTGGAGAACATCCACGATCATTGTACCTTTTGAATTGTCCACCCGGCCTCTTTTTATCGTCTACAAGCTCACCGTATAGCAGGGATTTCGGTATGCGGTTTTCGTGCATTCTGCATACGTGACCAGCCCATCTTAAGCGGGATTTTGAATCATGACTTCAATACTCTCGCATTTAGCTTTTTTAAGGACCGATAGGTTTGAGACATGATGGAATTTGATTCTTAAGAGTTGTCTAAGGTGTGTGTCTCTGTTGCGACTTGTTTAATGCGTTTATGTGTCGGCGGTACAGCACTCAGGTTTCGCTTCCATATAACATGGTGGGGATTATTATTGCTCGGTACACTGCAAGTTTCGTTTTTGTGCTCAAGTCATGATTATAGAAAACCCTGTCTTTTAATTTCCAGAATGCTCTTGAGGCGCTGTCCTGTGCTGAATTTCGATATTGGAGTCGATATTTGCCTTTTCCAAAATCAAACTGCCGAGACGCAATGGAGAAAAAAAGAAATTGTAAACTCAGTTAACAGCGACAACCAAAAAGTAAAGAGGCAACACAGCAATGAGATTTTTGAATGTCCGGAGTGCGGTAGGCAAATAACATCACGTATCGGGCTTTTCAGTCACAGAAAAGCTCACGAAAGGAAATGTTTTGACCATCTTCTGATGCGTGTCAAATACTCGTCAGCGAGTAATGGCAGTAGTAGTAGTAGTAGGTAGTAGTAGGAACGATGTAGGAATTCATCTACATATTCCAATAGTTCTCCGATTTTTATAGCATTGTTGTGATCTTCCGAGGGACTGCACATGCTTTTAGTTTTGTCGATGTTCAGCTTAAGGCCCAAAGCCTCGTATGCCCAGGTAATTTTGTACGTGTTTTTGCCCTGAGTCTTTTTATGCTGAACAGACCGCCGCGCCGTCGTATCTGTATCTAACGCCCAATCCTCTCTCCTGCAGTTTGCTGTCCACCATAATGTACACCGCTGCCATGAATATGTTGTTATGGAGGGCTTTTACACACTGTAAGAAATTTGTTGGGTACTCCAAACTTTTTCATAATTGCCCAAGGTGTATCTGTGTTCACAGAGTCGAAGGATTTTGTTAGGTCGATGAATGCAACATAAAGTTTAGACTGCTGCTGTTTTACTTTTTTCTGTAGTTGGCGGATGGAGAATATGGAATCGCCGGTTCCGCGGTTGGTGCGAAAACCCGTTTGCGATTCTATGAGGAGTTTTTCTATATGTGGGTGCAGGCGGTTTGACATAATTTTTGCAAGAATTTTTCCTCCGATGGCCAGTAGTGAAATTCCCCGGTAGTTTCCGCTATCTGGTGCACTTCCGTTGTTCTTAAATATATTCACTATATTCGCGTTGCCAAAGTCCTGAGGTACCTCTCCGCTTTCCCATATTACATCGAAGAGAGCCTTAAGATGACCACTAAGTTCTTTACTTGCACACTTATAGATTTCCGCCGGAATCGCGTCACAGCCAGCTGATTTATTTTTTTTAATTTGTTTTATGGAGGCCTTTATTTCCTGTTCTGTTTTTTCGTGTTACCACATCGCATCGTTCCAGATGTTTGAGCACAGCGAAGTGGGCAGATATCGGCTAGTAATCGTGATACGCAGTTTTAATATGCAAATTCAAATCTTTTACGTGATTTCATTTATGTAGACGCGTTCTATTGACTTCTTCCGACTCACCTACCGTGTTGCTTACTCCGGCGCGTCCGAGTTCCTTCCACTCGAGCATAAGCGGTACGACGGACGCCGGTGACGTCGGTGAAAGTGCACCACCACCTCCGCCTGGCCTAACGCACCAGACAACGACACCAGCAGCAGGAATCCTGCTATCTGCTCCGGTGACGCCGATACCGCTCCGTCCGCAGATCGGGTTAGTGCACCGCGTCGCGCCGCTATCAGATAATTCAGATCCGCCGAGCTAGTACCGACATCAGTACCTGAAGAGGCTGCTTAGTTTTGTTGCAAGTATCGTCCAAGTCAGTGGTTACAGACCCTTTCTTGACTTTGAATGAAAGAGTGTATTTAATTTTGCAAATATTTTCCGTCGGGGATTACCTACAGATTGATTTTTCTTTTGAAAAATATACTTTTTTCGGGGACTTGCGAAGTGAAAGTTCAGTAATAGTGTGTTAAATAGTGCTGTTAGTGATATTGTTCTGTTATTGTTATGGAGGGTAAAATGCTATTGTGTAGCGTTCTTGTTTGAGTGAAAGACAAATTCGCACGAGTATGAGTCAGGAAGTTTTACAGGTACATTTTTAATTTTAATTATTTTTTAAGACTTTTGGGTAATTTAAGACTTATAGGAATATTTCTTTAAAAGGGCTAAATTTACATAACTTTTGTAGAAAATAAAATCATATTTAACTTAATAATTATCTGAATTAATAACTACATTTTTAAAAGTGTATGATAAAAAAACGACTTGTAGAATTTGGCTTGGATATGACTATCGATGCCACAATGACTTCATTTCCAAGACCATTCTTACGCAGTTTTTTTTTCGATCGTATGGTTTTAGGATCGTAGTTAATATATTAAAAATGATATATTCTAACGTGATATAATTCGAAGGGACATTTAGTGGAACATCAGAGAATCAAAACATCCTGCAGGTGCATTAAATGTATATTTAAAATAAATTTAATATTTATTTAAAATTAAAAATATTCATTTGAAATATTTACTTAATACTTGCTTATGCCATGTTATTTTTAAGATCTTAGATAATTTAAATACTTAAAATAATTCTAACGCCCGTGTTATAATTCCATGAGTCGGATGTATCAACACTTCAATAGGATTTAGATTTTGGAAAAATAAAAACACTTTTTTCATGATTAATTGGAAAAATATATATTCAACAAATATGGTAAATAGTTCTGTATCAAAATAATTAGTTAGTTAAACTAAAAAATTTGCTCGGCTACAAAATAAAAATACAAAAAATGGATAAAAATGAAATGATGAAAAAAAATAATAAAAAGAAAACAAAAAGTGAAAGTATTATGCAGGTGGCTTAAAATATATTTTAAACAACAATTTAACCCAAAAATAGTATGGTATTTATATTCCATCTTCGAGTACCTACTCGAACCTCTAAAACTACTAAAACTAAACTCTAAAAAAATATTTTAATGAATATTTGAAAAAATACTGCAAAAATATTTTGATTTTTCTTAAATAATGTTTTTTTTTCCTTTTTTTACGGGCATTAATGGTCACAAGTATCTATTGCAAAGTTGTGAAAAATTTTACAACTAATTTTGCAATACTTAAATTGAAATATAATAAATATTCTCTTAAATATTATATTATCATGTACTATACGCTAGTACGACCGTATCATCTGCGAAGCGAATATTGTTAATCAGGGTACCATTGATTTTGATACCACGTTCTCTATAGTGTCTCGCGGAATACCGCTTCGGAGTAGATGTTGAAAAGGAGTGGGGATAATACACATCCCTGCCTGAGAAGTATTAAAAAAATAATATTAATAAATTATACCTACACATAATTTAAATATTTTTTTGAGTATCGCTGTTTGAAATCGCTGTAACTTTTTTGCTATGGAAAATTTTGTATTTTTATGAAAACATTTCCAAAGCACTTTTTTACGGAGAATTTAGTGGTTTAAGTATAATTTTTTTAAAATTAATAATTTAAGAATTATCAACAGAAAATTTGATTTTTTATATGGGACACCCTGTATATTTTTAATTTATTGAAAAGAATTTAAAATTACCTTTCCAAAAATATAACACACTTGATATTTTGCTCGATTTCTCTTCGAGATATAGAGTATATAAAAATTCGCCGGCTTTAAATAAGTAGGCTTTGAACGGCACCGGCTGTAATGCAAAAAAATTCTAGCTGTGAGCATCAATTAAAACGAAAATAATATTTGCTATGAGAGATGCAGAATTTTATAAGAATTTAAAATATATTTTACCAACATCAACACATTTAAACTACCGTATGATCGAATAAAAACGGCGTCAACGATGGCTATGAAATGAAGATCGCTGTCATTTTATATGTAAAATTATATGGGAAATGTCATCGATCGTTATTTCCAAGCCAACTGGACGCCGTTTTTTTTCGATCATACGGTATATCTAATAACAATAAAAATAAATAGCAAACCAAGACATGAGGTTTTGCTACAGGTGTCCGACATATCAACCGTCTTCTGTTATGGACAAACGGGGCAGTTTTTGAACATTTCTCGCGGAATTCATTAACTCAATGAGGGTGAAAGATACCCTCTCATAACTGCTAAGTATTTCTAATTCTTGTCTAGATTATACGGAAGAATAAGGAACCTTTATTCTTCCGCAAATATATCCATAGGATTAGGTCCATGGTAACTAAGTCAGGCGGCCTCGACGGCTAACGGCTGGGATCTTGGTTAGCTATTCAATTATTCTTGAAATTGGCTGCAAAAATTTGCTGATAACTTTAGCGTTCAGAGGTGGTGCGTCGCGCGTCGTCTTGCTGGAAAAATATGTTTTCGAGTTCCATTAAAAAAAAGGGCATTTTATCATCAATAAGGGGTCCAAAACAAAATATCAAGTGTGCTATATTTTTTAAATAATAAAATATAGAGGGTGTCCCAAATAAAAAATCAATTTTCTGTTGATAACTCTTAAATTATTAATTTTACAAAAAATATACTTAAACCATTAAATTCTACGTAAAAAAGTGCTTTGGAAATGTTTTCATAGAAACACAAAATTTTCCATAGCAAAAAAGTTACAGCGATTTGTTAAAAATGCACATTTTTGAAAAACACCCCGTAACTCCGAAACGGTAACAGATATTGATGTGGGATTTTCACCGTCATGTTTTTGATGAAAATTGAGCTCCAGATACAGATATTAGTTTTCGTCTATCTACTATAGAAAAGGGCGTTTCGCTTTAAAAAGCATCCAATTTGTACAACCAAACCCTGTACATTTATAATTTCATGTAATAATGTTCTTCTCTTATTGCTATGTTGTCTTAGAACATATAACACACAGTTCTTACACCTGCACGCAAACAAGGAACTTTCCAAAATAATTCTGGTAAATTACACTAAAAACTATTATAAACAGTCTTACATATATCTGTACCTAAAGTATACTTAAGTTAAAAATAAATGCTAGACTGAATTGTAAATATAGCAAATTCTGGTTTGTTTGAAGCTCTACATATACGTATTATTTTTGTATTGTAATATGTAACTATTTGATACATCTAGTGTATCAATATTAGTTCATTACACAAAATAAAATATGTATAGCTTCAAATAATATGATTAAGAATATGATTCGGGCATCTTTTAGCCACGATAAGACACGAAAAACATTAGACGATCAAATCTATTTTCCAAGGCTTCTTGATTAAAAATTAGTGTTATTGTGACGATTTTTCTGTCGTTACCCAAATAGAATGAAAAAAAAATCCGTTGCTCAGGGTTAGAGGAAAGCTGGGTTCGTAGGTAAGGCTTCTGACTCACAGTGACTTTCTAATGTTGTTAAAAAATAAAAAAAAATGATAATATATAGGCTGCAGAGATTTTAATATTGATGTTAAGAATTCAAATAGGTATGGTCAAAGACAGTGAAAAGGGCGCCACTTACTTTGTTTATGAGAGTGGTAAAGTAAGAAACCAAAAAGAAAAATACGATATCACAACATAGCTATAAATAAAGCAATCAACAGCATTAAGGGTCTATTATGTTTATCAGGAATAAAAGTCAGAAATAACTATCCTACATTAAACATTTATTGAAAACGAACACAAGTATCAATTAGTCACAGTGATCCCAATAAAACCGCAAGTTATTTTAAATAGATTCGAATTTAGTAACTGTATTCTTTGAACTAAGTAAGCTACTTAATATAAAAACAGGTGAAATTTATGTATGTCTCAATACGATGATGTTTCGAAACATGTCGTGTACAAAAACCTTTAAAATGAATACGTGTTAATAATTTTCATATAAAATATCATAGCTAAGTAAGAGTGTACTGTACGAATCAAATTATAACTTATAACGTTAAATAAAAAATAATTTTGACTACAATATGTGGGATAAATAGTGATAATTTACCAGGTTATTAAATCTGTTGTCTCAAAAATTATAAAATAAAAGCGTACCTTGTGTATCAAACTTGAGACTTATCTGTATATAGTTTCTTATGATTTAAACAGGTAGGTAGGTATTCTCCAGACTAACAGAAGTGGATGCAGATGACTATGGCAGGAGAAGTCTTCGATATCAGCCAAAAGAACGATTGTAATGTCAGGAACACTGTCTTAAGGTCTGCATAGGTCCATACAAAATGAAAGTGGGTGAAACATACAATAATTACTGCATTATTACTGCATACCATGTGGTAATTACTGAGTACCATGTGGTAGTTACTCTATAAATAAAAAATAGTTCTCAGGACAGATACTCAATAAAAAAAACTTACGGTCTGAAAATCAGCTTTACATAAATATATTCAAACCATATGCCGATCCAAACCAGTAATTAAATACTCAAATAAACGAAATAAAAAACGGAAATAACTGAAATAGAATTTAGTTAGATAGGGCTATATAAAATGGCGGATAAACTTACGGTGATCATTCCAAGAAGAAACCAAACAAATACGATCTATACTCTGGATTGCATACTTTACAAGGTTTTCAAATTTCCAAATCGGATACCCATGCAATGGAAATCGAAAAGTGGATTCAGAGTGCTTTTCACTGGAAAATTTGTCGGACACCGAAACACGCGTCTTCTTCAGATCCAAATTTTCAGAAAAAAAGACCTTCTTCTCAGTTTCAGAACCGAAACCAAAAAAAAACCTTTTCACCACAGACAAAATGAGAGAGAAAAAAGTGATATCATATGATCGAAATCATTAGAACAGAAAATCGCAATCCACAGCGAAGTGAGATTCGGACAAGTGAAATGCAGTTAAGGAAGTTTGGCATATAGCGAATAGATGGCGCTAATAAACAAGACAAGTGAACTGTAATAAATGAAGTTTGACATCTAGCGAATAGATGCGCTAATAAAAATTAAATATCGAGACAAGTGAGCTGTAACAAATGGAGTTTGGTATCTTTGGCATTTAGCAAATAGATGGCGGCAATACTAAGAAATTTAAATAAAAATAGACCTTCAAATTCAATTTTATTAGAGGAAATAAAAAATGCTACATTATTAACTTTTTTTTTATTAAAATACGATTTTTTTAAG